ATAAACTTGAGATACTGGTCACTGGTATGATCCAGCTGATTTTATTATTGGCCAAGTCAAGTCCCAGACCGAAACAGAGTTTGTCAGATTATATTTTGATTTGTTTTCATTTTAACAAAGTAGCCTCTCACTGAAATATAAGCATTTCATACAGCAGATTTTGCTTCAACAGTAAATCAAGAGTTTATTAATAAAAGAAATTAGGATAAAATAGAATAAACCAAACAATTTACTACACAAATCCAAAGATTTTTAAGTACACAGTAAAAGTATAATCCCAATAACCCTAAAGCACTCCTTTATAAATTGAAAAGTAAAGCTTTTATATCATAGTTGAAACACACCTCTGGTACAGTACCTAAAAATCTTGTATAGTACCCAAAAACACCACTCCCACTACTCACACCAGAATTCTGGATCTAAAACCTCAATAGATTTAAAGGTATTTGTGACTTTAACTTATAGACTGGAATGGCAGATAACTTCATTCCAGAGCTATAATGTAATCATACGCAGCTCTTCAGGGTGTTATCACAACATCTTTTGACTGGGACTAACCACTGATACTTTAATCAAATTTCACTATGTCCTTCCCTTCTTAGGAGCAATGATCTATACAGCCACCTTCATCCAAGAACTTCACAGGACTGCTAACAACTCAAGGTAAAGCAAAAACAAACCTCTCTGTCTAAGTTATGGATGTTTTCATTAAACTGCAAACTCTTGACCTTCTAAACTGGAGCTTGTCTATCTCATTTGGCCATAAAATCCGACCAATGTACGCAAAAACCTATTAATCCCAAAGCTAGGTCTCAAAACTGTTTAAAAAGGAATCACTGTAGCTGCATAAATTCTTACAAGTTAATGATTAATTTCAGACAAACAGCAAAACCCATGTTTCTCCCTAACTCAGAATTCCAGGAACACACTTGCAACAAATAATTTCTTTTTAATCCATTCATGAATATGGATGTCACTGGCTGTGCCAGCATTTATTAAGCATCCCTAATTGCCCAGAGGCAGTTAAGAGTCAATGATATTGTTGTGGATCTGGAGTCATATGCAGGCCAGAGCATGTGAGGATGGCAGATTTCCTTCCTAAAGGACGTTAGTAAATCAGATGGGTTTCTCCCTGACAATTGGCAATGGTTTCACAATCATTGTAGATACTTATTTCCAGATTATAATTGAATTCAAACTCCACCATCTGCGATGGCAGGATTCAAACCCAGGTCCCCGGCACATTACCTGGGTCTCTGAATTTATAGCCCAGCAAAAGTACCGTTCGGATATCGTCTAATAAATATCACACAGTTTACATTGCATTACAAAGGGGTGAACCTTGGACATACTCGCTGTTACAAAGAGATGCACACTCAAAATGCCACTTTCTATGAAGAAGTATAATCGAAATATCACTGGCTGTATTTTCTCTGCAGATTCTCCCTGTTTCCAACATTTACCATTTGTTTCCTTTTCATTTCAGAAAAACCTAAGGTGGACTGGTGATTCTGGGAACAATTGTGACTCTGGCCTTAGCGAGATCTATCTTTATATAACGTGAGTTTCCGGCTGTGCCGGTACTGTGTGATGGGTTCTCAGAGCTGTGCTTGGCTTTGCCTTGAATCACCAGTTACCTGTCTACACTACCAGTATCAGCATGACACGGTACAACGAACAATGCACTTGCCAAGTTAATAGGATGGCAAGTAAAGCAATTACTAATGTGATGACTAGTAATGATTGCCTGGGCTGCTGGAAGCTTTGCTGAGGCTTATTGATGATGTGCTTGCTGGGACAATATATGCATGATGACTAAATTGCTAATATACCATGGGCACTTTTTCCTGCTTAGTCTTTCACACAGCTATTAGAAGAATCCAAACTCTGGATTCTTGTATGACCTACAGGCACAAAAGCCAATAATCACTGGATCCACTTAATAACAGCTTTAGAAAAGCTGATTCTTTAGCTGCATATTAATATGTATCTGATGCCCAAACTAAAGCTGCTTTTGTTCTTTTCATCCTACTCCTTGAATTAAAATTTCACATTCCTGGCAGAAATTTGAGCTCCATCTTTTGGTTTTCAGTGCAATTTTTTTTAGCCTCCTCCAATAAAATAAAAGTGATTCTATTAGAATTACATCACAATTACCCTTAAATCAGTAACACTTCAGAATAATTAACCTCCCAGACTTAACACAATGGAGGAAAGTAATGATTTTTTTTTCCTTCTTTCATGGAATGTGGAATTGATGTACGTTAGCATGTTGCCCACTCTCAATGCCCTTGAGAAGATGGTGGCAATGCTCCTTCCTGAACTGCTGCAATCCATTCAAATATCTGTTTAATGTCACTTCGAGTTTGATCACTGGTTTTATTTTCCTATTGTTACATTGTGAAACATTTCTCTGTTCTGCCTGTGCAGAAAGCTTAATGGATGTTTTTTTATGACCCTAGGATTCAGTTTTATACTCTTTTGGCAGCCTAATCAAGGATTCTCCACAAAGCCCTCAGAGGATTTTGTATAGCAGAAATTCACATGAGACAGTTTAAGAGTGGTACAGACAAATTGGAACGGACACTGACAATCGGCTCAAGGAAATATGCTTCTGCAGACTTAAATTTCAAATGTCATTTAATGATTCCACCCGATTAACTCATTGGGCTAAAAACAAGCAAAACAGCACCGAGGGAACAGAAAGCTCTACATACCTACAGAAATTATAGAAAGCTATGTCAAACTATATACATGGCTGCTTATGGGCCAGAAGGACAGTGGTGTGGACACACATACACATATACTCACAAGGAGACTGGCAACAGTTGGTGTCCATTATGACATTAGCAAAGCCTCAGTAAATATATATGACTAACCTTTCACTCACTTTGACCATTAAAGCCTCATAACATCTGAGCAGAAAGGGAAACAACTAGAATTATCTCACTTTGCCAGTGCTGGTGATTAATATCTCTTCTGGGTTTGCTGACATAAAATACAACAGCAGTTGGTTCCATTAGCATTTTCGCCTCTCTCTCCTGAAGAAAATCAGGGATACATTTATCCAAATTGCTTATCATCAAGTTGCCCACTTTACTTACCTTGGATGGGTCAACAAATAACCTGCATCATGCATAGTGATACTGACCCATACTAATCCCAGTTTCAATATCTGAACTTAGGGCTCTTGTGGTGCAGTGGTAGCATCTCTATGTCTGAGCCAGGTGGTCTGGATTCAAGTTCCATCTGCTCCAGAGGTGTCTCATAACATTTCTGAATAGTTTGATTAAAAATATCCATCCCTGAACTGTAACCAGTTGATAGAATTTTATGTTCAGATACGTGTAATGTATGCATTATCTACTAATGCATTACAATAGTTCCTACATTACAACAGTGACTCATTTCAAATGAACAACATTGATCGTAAATGTTTTGAGGTGTCTTGAAATCATACAAAACATCATATAAATACAGGAATTTGTTTCTCCCCTTTCTAACAAGGAGCAGATTTTACATACAATATACCTTGGAAAATTGCTGGCATCTAGATCACAATGTTTGACAGAATAAATAATAAGAAATAGTTTATACTGGTAGGTGGGTCAGTAACCTGAAAACAGAGATTTGAGATAATTGACAAAAGAACCAGTGGCTAGTGAGGAGAATCTCCTTATGTGGCATGTTGTTGCAATGTGAAATATACTATCTAAATGGGTTGCAGTAAATACAGATTCAAACAATTTTGAAAGAAAGTTGAAT